TTTTTTTTTTTTTTTTTTCAAAATGATAGAGAATTCAATAGATAAAGTAAGTCTTACAAGTCATGAAACTAAACAACTCCAAACAACCAATAACTACAACAGAGGTCCACACGAAGAACCAAACAAAGGAAGGGAATTGCACAACAATGCTAGACTCAGTCCGAGCACGAGAATGCCATTGGAGATGATAGAGCCTGCCTCTGAATCCAATTCCTCTAGTAAAATGTAGCCTAGAATAACAGCAGTACAATACAAATCAATTTCCAAAAGCAGAATTACACCAATTAAACTCTTTAAAAAGCACAATAAAGGACTAACAATAGCACAACAACCCTATATAACTACCAAGACAAAACAACAAAGCAAAGAAAAGAATATGCAAGAAAAATCAGCTAGGAGCAAGCAGATGCCACTGAACCCCCAGGGACCTAGCACGCAGTGTACTTCAGGCTTGATCATTCTGTTTGTGAACTGAAGAGTACTCCTGCCAATCGTGAATTATTGCTCTGACGAAAGTAACTTCTGGCATCCTGGTTTTCTAAAATTTCCAGAGGTTTCTTGATTTCTATGACCACCAAAATAAGTTTGTGGTTAGCGGAATTCTAGCTTCTGAAGCTTCCTTCTTGTCCACTGAACACACAATCCACCACCAATCTCTGAAACTTTCTGGAGTTGCACCTAACCCATCCCAACAATTAGGTGCCCACTTCCACATTGTAGTAGCTCTGTTGCAATGAAAAAAATAAATGTTCAAATACAGATTCTAATCTGCACCACACCCTTCACATATAAGATCAATGTTCATTCCCCTTTTCTGTGATTCTGGGAGACTGACAACACATTGTTAAAGCACTTCCATGACAAGTTAAGGTTTTTTTTTTTTAACATTAATCCCCCAACTATTCTAATTTTCATATCCTTCCCAACGGATTCACATCCCTCAGCCATATCTAGAGATCATATTTGGTAGGAACAAGCCACAGAAAAATATCACTTTCTATCTAGAGCCCAAAACCATGTCCTTTTCTGAAGGATCTAGAGTTTTGATTTTAAGGATCTTCTCTTTTTCCGAGTCACTGAAAAGCTCACTTAAGACCTCTTGATTCCATCTTCTTCTCCTAACTTCCATCAACTCCCTTACCCATTGCAGCTGACTCAACACTCCACTTCTATTTTCTGGCTTCTCCAAGACAGGGTGTGAAATCCAAGGATCATTCAAGATGTTTGTGGAAAAACCATCTCTGATTTCAATTTTGAAGAACTCTTTAAACATATCTCTCACTCCAAACCAATTATTTCAAAGCCATGAAGCATTGTTGGATCTCTGAGCATCAAGTAAAGAGCTTTTAAGGAATTACCTGCTTTGAGGACATTACTGTAACGCCCCACTTTTATTTTACGAAAGTCAAAGGCTTTTCAAAAAGTCAACTTAAATTTTTCGAAATTCTTTTCGAAACCTTTACATAAATCAGTGGCGCTACTCGAACTAAATCACATAATAACATAAATCACACTTGCATAAATCATAAAACATAAATCCATTGTTTTCATAAATTCCAGTTTCATCTAAATTGTTCATAAGGGAACATCTCCCAATTCAAAGTTACAAAAATTCCAAAGTCATAAATAAGCATAAATGAATCCAAGTCTATTAGCATGCGGAATAAACCAAATGAAGTTAGTCAAAGACCAACACCACTCGTCTCTGTCTCGTCAGCCGGCACCTACTTAACCTGCATCAATGAAGAGCAGGTGGGAGTGAGCACGATGAACTGTTGTGCTCACCACTATGCACTGAACAGTTATATTAAATGGGTACAGAAAGTAAATATGGCATGGTCACAAGTATGAACATAGACAATCAAATCTTTCCCATCTCCTATCCAGAGTCCATTACATATCTCATGTGCACACCTATCAGAATAGACTACATTTGCTCCACGTATCGTCTCCCCGCGGGAACTCTAACGTTGCCAAAGTAGGAGAGTCATCCGTCAACCCAGAGGGTTTTAGACGGGAAATCCACTGTCAACCCCGAGGGTTTTAGACAGGTCTGCCAACCCCGAGGGTTTTAGGCAGGTAATCCATCACTAACCAAGGCTCACGCCAAGGT